ATTATTGGTTTGGAATTAAATTAAAATTTACCCAAGCCTAATAACGAAACATGTAATTTTGCCACATAGGATTCCGAAGCACCAGAAGCAGCCACGTAGGCTCAACGCATTCTGTATTAATATATTATCAAAAGAAGATTAATTTGATATATTACATATGTAAAACTGATAAAAAATACAAAAGTTATTAACTTTTATAATATATATATACAGTTCAATAGTTATAATAAGGAATGATATTATAATACAATTAATACATGTAACATGACCATAAATAATCAACATATTTATGGTAATCCGAACCTAATTATTATTGGTTTGGAATTAAATTAAAATTTACCCAAGCCTAATAACGAAACATGTAATTTTGCCACATAGGATTCCGAAGCACCAGAAGCAGCCACGTAGGCTCAACGCATTATGTATTAATATATAGGGGGATATTATTTGTCCAAACCTAATTAAGAAGCATGATTCTTCGCCAAGTAGGATTCCGAAGCACCAGAAACAGCCACGTAGGCTCAGCGCATTCGGTAATTATATATAGGGAGGATATCATATAACTACATGAAATATAAATATATTAGTTGATAAATAATTTTATTTTTCTAATTAATATTTAAAATAATTTTATTATTATTATAAAGACAAATATAAATTATTTTTTTATACATACAATATGGATGTTAAATCGAAGCTTATCAAAAGAAGATTAATTTGATATATTACATGTGTAAAACTGATAAAATATACAAAAGTTATTAATTTTTAAAATATATATACAATTCAATAGTTATAATAAGGAATGATATTAAAATGCAATTAATACATGTAACATGATCATAAATAATTAACATATTTATGGTAATCCGAACCTAATTATTTTTGTTTGGAATTAAATTGAAATTTACCCAAGCCTAATAACGAAGCATGTAATTTTGCCACATATGATTTCGAAGGACCAGAAGCAGTCATGTAAGCTCAGCGCATTCAGGATTAATATATAGGGGGATAGTTTAAAACTGATGTCCATAAAAATACTTCTTGACGATGCATATATTCATAAAAGGAATAATTAAAAGTTAAAACATTAGTGCATCTGTAACTAATCTTTAAGGATCAGTTATTATAAAAACTATTTGTCAAAAACAAAAGAAAGAATATTATATGTGTGGGAAGTAATAATTTTTGGAGGGAAAACGAAAATTTTACCATCAATTCTTTTCCAATTACCATCAGTTCTTGTATTGAAAAAACTCCTATTATATATAAAGGTGAGATGTATTCAATATTCATGAATCAATTATCTCTCTTCCTAGATATTTTGAGTTTTCATTTATGTTGATTGGTGGAAAGAAAAAAAAAAAAAAAAAAAAAAAAAAAAAAAAAAAAAAAAAAAAAAAAAACTCACAGAATATAATATTTATTGCATCTTATTTATTTATTTTCTACCATCTTACATATTATAATAAAAATATATAAATAAATTATTACATATTTTTCAACATAAATTAATGTCTGATGTATAATTTTATTCACCATTCATTACCATCTAATTTTATTAGTGTTCCTATCACATCAATTTTAGTTTTTTTTTTTCGAAACGATAGGATATATTGCTCAGAAAAAGAAGTTACAACGAGGACAAACTTGTCCTAATACAACCGTCCTGACAGCGGAAAGATCAAAGGAAAATGAGAGCACTTCCCTGGAAAGCTACACCAATCACCCAGGAATTAAACTCTCACCCCATCAACAAGAAATCTACAAAACAAACTACAGGCAAAAAAGGCTAACCACTGCCAAGAAGGCCTAGCTAGTCTTCAAAATGGCTAACAGAGACTACAACAAAACTACAGCAAAAGATCAAACAGAAAAGTTATTTACATTAGAGAATTCCAACCAATCTTGAGAAGCTAGGCTAATAGTATCCTTCTCAGATCTCCAAATATTAGAGAAGACCCACAAATTCCCGGTCTTCCACATCCACCAGAGGATGTAGGAAGATAAATGAAGTCGAGCTTCTGTAGTGGGGGAGTTATTGATTGAGCACAATCTTGGCCACCATTTTCTGAAGCTATCCCTCTCCATCTGTGACTCCATCTGTGAACCTTCCCAAGAAACTGGGGATAACTTCCAAATAAGTTGGGCTCTCTTGCAGTGGAAGAATAAATGCTCTTGAGTCTCCTGTTCCTCCCTACACATTTTGCAAATAGGATAAATCAACAGTCCTTTTTTACAAAGGTTGCTATTTACTGGAATGATATTGTTCATGCCCCTCCAAAGAAAGTGCTTAACCTTTGGTTTTATTTTCAAACCCCAGCTTCTCATTCTGGCCTTCTTCAAAATGGTCTTATCTTCACTGGATTCAGGCAGGTCCATAAGAAGAAACTTATTCTGTATCATCCTAGAGTATGCTGAGGCCACTGTGAATTTTCCACTTGCATTCCACTCCCAAGTTAGCCTGTCTTTTTGGTGGGGGTCCAGATCTGTGATGCTCAATATGGCTTTTGCTTCCTCTTCTGAGAAACAATCTTCCACAAGCTGCCTGTTCCATCTTCTCCCTGAATCATCAATAAGATCTTTCACCCACTTGATAATTGTAGGAGCTCTGCTTTTAGACTGAGAGTTGAGGTTAGGGATGTTGGGCACCCATGGGTGATCCCATATCTTCACACTCCTACCATCCTTGATTTTGAATTGGAGTCCATGCTTAAAAGTGTCTCTTTGCTTTAGCCAGCTTGTCCAGAGCCATGAACTGTTCTTTTTTGGCTTGACTGTGAAGAAGTCTTCTCTAGGAAAATATTTAGCCTTGAGAGTTTTGCTTACCAGAAGATTTGGGTGGGTTAGTAGTCTCCACAGCTGTTTGGAAATTAGAGCCTTGTTGAATGTGTGAAGATCCTGAAAGCCCATTCCACCCAGCTTCTTTGGTAATGTCAACTTGTCCCATGCTTTCCAGTGGATGTGTTTATCTTTGTTGCTGTTTGAATTCCACCAGAACTTAGCAAATGTGGAAGATAGTTTCTTTAGTACTCCCATGGGCAGTTGGAAACAGGACATTGAATATGTTGGCATTGCTTCCAGAACAGCTTTCATCTGTACCTCCTTACCTGCATTTGATAAGAATCTATTCTGCCAGTTTGTTATTCTAGAGTTCACTGCCTCCTCAACATAAGCAAAAGTAGCCAATTTTGACTTTCCTATGCCCAAAGGAAGCCCAAGGTAATTTGTGGATTTCTGGGGTTGAATTCCCATGAGGGTTTGACAGATTTCCTTTTGAACAGAGATAAGAGTATTCTGGCTAAAGAAAATGG